TTTTTTTTTTTTTTTTTTTTTTTCAAGTAGAGTTAGATGCGTAGTATTTCTCTATATATGGTTCACACATGCATGCATGAACCCACTGGGTAGACTCATGGACGTACCTCTTAAGGTCTAACTATAGACTAGCGCATGCTCACGTTCCTGAAAACCAATGAAAAGAAAAGAACGCATATTATGTAATGGAGTGTGCATCCATTCATAACATATTGGGTAGTAACCTGTGTTTGTGACATACAACATGCATGAGGTTTCGTAATCATGATACATGGTCATGATGCACATGATACTTTAGTACATTTCATGACATAATTTTCTTATGAGACATGCATACATGTAAATGACATATCATTCATACTTATTATACGTGGTTCCTCAAATGTCTCATAATGCATAACGTCATCGTAGTATCTTAACATCAATGAATCATAGACTAGAATTACATGCATCACAAACCGTTCATAAGCGTATTAGTAACATGTAAATAAGCCATAAGTTACGTGTTAATCATACATAGCATACAATTCGTCCAACCTAACTCGAAGGCCTTCAATTTTATGCTCACTTACATGTTGACCTAAGCAGAAATCACTGAATTTTCTGAGTCAATGTTAGTTTGATCCTGTTTGTCAAGGTCTAGTTCTGAAGCTGAGGTTTGGTTCATGGTTTGGGTTTGAAGTCGAGGTTTGTTAAGAGGTTCAATTTAGAAACTAACTCCAAACTTGCTTTCTCTCTTTTCTTTCTTTCTTTCTTTCTTCTTTTTTCTTCATTTCTTTCTTCTTCTTATTCTCCAAATTGGTGGCTAGAGAAAAAAAGGATGGTCTGCAGATGGAGAAATAAGGAGAGAGATGAGTTGGGATGATGGAAATGGTAGGTTTGGGAGGTTATTTATAAGAGAAAAGAGAAGAGAAAGTGGACGAAATGGAGGGAAGTGGAGGAAAAGGGGAAAGTAGAGAAAATGGGGGGAAGTGAAGGATGGAATACAAAAAGGGAAGAGAAAGTGAGGTGTGTGTATTTATATATTTACTATAACAGTATACACATCTAAAAAAAAAAAGTTCGTCCTTGAAAGTGCCTTAAACGAGGAATAACTCAAGGTACTTTTCCATCATTTCGTCCTTTTGTTTCTATGTTGCCTATGTTGGTGGTTTTGCTAAAGTACCTTGATGAATATTATATTATCTCTCTAGTGCGCAAGGTCTTTACTTCTCGGGCTAAAATAGTGTCATATCAATAGTCGTTTGATAACTATGGTTATAAGCAATTTCCATAAGTTGTAACTTGGAATTCAAACCGTTTATAATCTGAGGCCTTACTACTATTAAGACTGACATCCTTTACTTTCCCGAACTTTACCGAAGTAACATGAGTAAATTTGTGAATGAAGCCACCCACTACTCAAATGATGGTGTAACCTTTCACTATCTTAGGTAAGCCTAAAAGGAATTCTATGACACAACCTCCCATTCTCAACCAAGATTGCTTAAGGATTGTAATAAACCAACAAGCCATTGTCACATAACTTTCACTCGTTGATATCAAGTACTTATTAACCTACTGCAATATTTGTTCTTCCATTTTGTAATATGCCTCCACCCCTCGGAATGTTGAACCTCTTGGTACCATTTGGATTCACTAAATGGTGGTTTGGACATATCCTTTAACAACTCTTACTTGAGGAATAACCCTCTGGGTGCACAGTTCCCTTTAGGGTGAAACATCAACTACCCATTAGCAAGAATGAAAATCCATTTGACCTGCCACTCTTAAGAACTTAGCTAATCCAGAATTTACAAATTGTGCATAAATAACTAAGTGCAAGTTTCCTTTGCGAATATAAGGTAGAACACTACCTTTTCATGTTTCCTAGTTATTTCCCCATAGCATCATTAAAATTTACTAACCTTCTTATATCCTCTAGCATATCTTAATACTAGGGCCGAGGTCAATCAATTCTTTAACTTTAGAAAGCTCTACTCGCTGTTTTCATTTTCCTTTTAAATCATCTCGCCAAATCTATGAAACCTATGAATTTCTGTCACCATGCATGTCTAGGCCAACTACAAACTGTTTTTACTTTAACAAAGTTCATATGCTACATTCCTTAATATTTAATGTTTGAGAGAAATAACTTTGTCTAACCAAGAATCATACTTAGAAGGTTTGGTATTAAACATATGTAAGGCCCTTAAAACTGGTTTAAGGGCTCATCTTGTTGTTCTTTTTGTCTTTGATTATCTCCTATGATCAATATGAACACTAGTAAAAAACAAGTCTAGAAACCTCCTTGAAGCATTAATGAGTCCAAATGCATCATAGTAACTCATAACGATCATGCTCAAACTTAAAAGAAATCTTTGAAATATTGTCCTCCTTGACTCTTATACTTGGAAAAACATTTTTTTTTTCTCTCTTTGATTAGCTCCTATGATCAATACGAACACTACTAACAAAACAAGTCTAGAAACCTCCTTGAAGATCTGGTTCATGAGAATTACATAAGTTATGAAGCATTAATGAGTCCAAGTAGTAACTCATAACTATCATGCTCAAACTTGAAAGAAATCTTTGAAATATTGTCCTCCTTGACTCTTATACTTGAGAAAAACATTTGTTACAAACAAAGAAAACATGTTCTTCCTCACTATTTTAATAGTTTTTTTATAACCAATATGCCACTGCATGGGACAATTCTTGCATCCGAATGAATAAAACTAATGTGTTCTTTGGAAAACACCCAGGTCAGGGAAGCCCAAACCTAATCTTATGTGTCCGTAACTTGAGCTGCCTCAACTCTGCTAAACTATTCTATCTAGAGTCTTAAGAATTGGAAGCGGGTTCATGACTTAGGCTCTTTATTGAAATCAACCTCTCGTGTTGATACTAATGTTGGAAAATCTCAAATACTTAATTCAACCTTAATTCCAACGTTCCCATTTTCTTCAAGATAGACTCGCTTTATTTTTTCAACTAGATCAATCATTTAATTAATTCCATGTTACTTTGACTTCCAAGTCACATCCACTAAATCTTGCCAAAGCGTTCAACCATTGACTTCTATGTCCAAACAAGCTCAAAACTTCATTTGAATAATTTTTCTTATAATCCTAGTGAATAATCACAAACAAGAGGGCTATTTCCTCCAATTTCTTTGCAACACTTGCGAGGAGAGTTAACAATACTTTCCTTCACTAGTACTTCGTAAATATGGCAAGTAGTTTTACATGTGGGAAGTCTCGAAATGCTTGAAAAATCGTTTTTGGATGGGGAAATGGAGGAAATGGAGGAAATGGTGGAGTATGAAAGGGAAAAGAAGAGGTGGGGTGCATATCTATAATTTATTTTTTACTAAAACATATCTGTTTCTTATATATTTTCAATCATGGTTGTGAATATATTCACCCAATATCCATTGGGGGGCTAAGGTCACTTTTATCAAAATCTGCATGCTTTACCTTCAGAGTAGTTCATGTAGCTCGTGTAGCCTCAGTGACTAAAAGAGAGTTTTCTTCAAGAAGTCTATCTCAAATCTTTATTATGAATCAAGGTGGTAATGAAACGAAGTATTAAAAGGCTAAAAAGATACTAAAAGGAATTAACCAAGCGTATATCTAATTAACCATTAACCAAGCGTATATCTAATTAACCATTAACCAAGCGTATATCTAATTAACCATTAACCAAGCGTTAATCCTACTACATGAATAATTAATTAGAAGTATTGTATATGCATCTTTGGATTGAACCATATGCAACTAAACCTTGTTATTTTCAGAAAGACATCTTATAACTAGAAAATTTCGTGGGTTGAGTTTATATTTTTTATATTCTTTTCTATTGTACCAGTTTAGTACTTGACCATGCTTTAGAGTTTACCAAGAAACCATTTATTTAATTTCTAACGAACAACCATGTCTTTTCTTCACTGTCCTTTTTCTGCAGGCAGCTGATGAAAAGGATAAAGTTTTGGAACAAGTGGTTATTGGAGAGATCACTGAAGCAAAGGAATCATACGAAGATAATGGGTTGGAACCTGTCCAGTCATTAAGTTCCCAGATGAATGAACTTTCTGTTTCTACAAATCCGAAAATTGAAAACCCTTCTGAGCCAATTGATAATCTACAGTTTCCTTCCAATGACATCGATAAGAGAATTAGAGCAATTAAAAAAAAGGTGAAGACACATTTGCGTTGGAAGAATATTACAAATCATCTTTGCTTCAAAGTCTCATGAAAATTTGTCAATTCATTGCATGCATATATATTTTGACTTGAATTATATTAATTTTTTTTTAATATCTCGATTTCCTTATAAAGTGTGGTGTTAGGTTTAATAGTATGCACCTAAAGAACAGTTTTCATCACACTGCTAATTCTAGAACTAAAGGCATCTTGTTAGTATGGTTATGATCTAAACTTTGAACTACATTTTGCCCATGGGTGCTCCTTGCTGGTCTTGCATATTGTCTGGAGTAGATGTACATGATCAGAGTAAAGTTATGATATTAACTTTGAACAACATTTTTCCCATGGATACTCCTTTCTGGTCTTGCATATTGTCCGGAGTAGATGTACATGATCTAGTTAATTAAGTTATGATGTTAAAAAATTTGAGTTATATCAGATTTATGGTTTAAGTCCTAACTAGTTGTTTGTAAACTACATTAGCTAAGAATCTCATGTGCAGTCATCCACAATTGCCTTGATTTTGATTTCTTCACCTTACTTAGGAAGGCCAAAATCTCGTTGGTCAGGTCTTTTGCTTGGTTTGTTATTTTGGGGAGGATAAACATTAGACTTTATCCAAAGATCTTCTACAGTTTCGATAAGAAGATGTGAATCACGTGCTTTGGAGCTATCACTTTGACGTGAAACTTCGGAATAAATTTTTGGATATATTTGTTGTCCGTTTGGCTGGCTTGAGGATGCATGCATATGGTGTAGGAGGAGCTCATTAGTTGTTCTTTTTGCAATAGGGTTGGTATCTTTGACAGACGGTTTTCTTCATTATGTCTTCCTTACCTCATAGCTGAAGCCGACAAAAACTATCTTTGACACATCTTGATTTAGTCCAAACGCCCTTCTACTCCCTTCTACTCTAGATTCTCGCACCATCGCTCATCTCTCTCTAGCTATATTAGCTCCTAGCATTACAGAGAGAGCAGTGCAGTAAATATGTAACAGTCTAACTAATTACAGCCCGACTATGGATGTGTTTGGATTGGGGATAACTTTTCAGATGGTTCTTGTAGATGATTCTGTGGTGGTTTGTTGTTTCTGGAGATGCTGAAGTTAAGCTTTTGCTAAGCCGTTAAATGAAAAACTCTGATTCCTTTAAAAGAAAAGTGCTTCCTCTAAAAGCACGTTGTGTTTACATTTACACATGTACTTTTGTTTATGTAATCAAATGCCATGAAGAATCTGCAAAGTTCTTTTAAACCTTAAGGACACTCTCAGTCCCAGCATAGGTAGCATCTAGTGGAAGGATTCAAAAGCCTATAATGTTCTGTCTTGTTCACTTCTTCATAAACTATGTTATCTGGGAGTGGGGAGTGAGTGGGGAGTATTCTTACTTTATGCAAGTATAAGTTCAAGCAATTCATCTGTTCTTGCGAAATTAGTACTCATCTTGTAATGAATTATTGGTTGCACTTGACAGCTGAAGATTTGAGTTTCTTTTTCTTAAGATCTCTAAGTTTTGTTTAGTTTGTCTATGTGATACAACTCTTTGATCATTTTCTTTGCTCTCTTGTTTTGGTTTGCAGATTCGAATTGCAGAAGCTCAATTGCAGAAAACACCACTGCAAGATTTGAAGCCAGAGCAGATGAACAAGTTATCGAAACTCGAAAATTGGCGCTCCGAACTAATGCTTCTAGAAGAACAAAGGCTAAAACTAAATTCGTTGTCGTGAATCGGTGCAGTCAGAATTATTGTTCACTTCATTTATGCTTTATGATGAAGAGACCCAGAATTACTGAACCAAAAGCGTTTCGATTTGCACTTCTGAAAATCTAATCACCTGTAAAACTCCACCTTTAAATGTGTTGTGTAATTGCTTCCATTCAACTAGTTTTAGGAAGGGCTTGAACTGTAGATAGTTTTGAAGACATTGATTTTCTTTCGCCTCAACATGATTTTTTATGTGATCTCAAATCAAAATGACCAACGAACACTTCAGCTTCTCAAAGATTATATATATATATGAATTTTATTTTGAACCATTTTTACTAAGAGAAACGGTATTGTACTTGAGGCTACGGCTATGTGTTTTCACTCGAGTTTTTGGATTCTTTTTTTAGGAAGTGACCCTATGTGCCAACTACTAAGCCTTGTGTTGTCTTTTGTATCAATCGGGTTTATGAACTAGAGGTCTTGTTTGGAGACTCCTAACCATTCACACACAATAAGACCATGAACATGAAACTTGATGTGATCTTGACACGCGTGACCAGCTTTAAGGGAAATTCATGCCCCATATTCACTTTTTTGCCGGGCTTTGTGGTTTTATCGAACTTCAAGCGAAGTTTGTCTTTGCCAACCGAACATCATTTGTGTTGAATCTAAGCTTGTTTGCCCACACATGCTACCTGCGCGTGCATGTTTAATCATCTGCGACACACCAACTTGCCTTTACACTAGGCCAAGTCATTCGACTCGATTTTGCCCCTACTTGGGGCTAAGGTCTTTCATTGCAATGTCGCATCCAACATTATCTTGGTTCCCAATCAACATGACCCATATGTTTTGATGCTATCTCGAGCCATAGGATGTAGTTGGCCCTCGCAACTCACTCGGTTATGCCATCGAGAACGAACCCACGTGTAGTTCATCATCTTGACACTCCAAACATCCATCCATCTGGGTTCAATCGAGGCATTGACCCTCCTGTGCCCATGCATGTCATTTATGGATAGCATATCAGATAGTGGGTACAAAATCTAACCTCCGACACTCGAGCTAGGGAGCAATACCGGCACACTCGTGCAGCCAGGTACTGTCCTTGAAAGAAATTTCAAAGGGAGTTGCTCGAGACACTCGTCTCGAAACGCTTGTCCTCATTGTGACACACACAAAGTTGCCATATAGTAGCTTGCTTAGGCCGCAGGACTCAGTTGTGGTGGAGAGCTGACACCATGCCTCCCCCATAGTAAATTTTGAGGCATTTCTAAACTGGCGGGTCTAGACATGATTTTGGTGAACGGACATACGGTGTCGTTGAGCGTCCATTTAGTGTCTGATTGACATCAAATTTGGTGAGCTTTCATATTTCATATAGACGACTTGACTCTAGAACCGAATGCACAAATTTCCTTTCAAATCCCAACTTTCGAGGTTAAGGCCCGAGGCTTACTTGACCCTTCAACAAGCTTATCGGTGACGTTCATGTCTACTCATGATCTGTATCTTGCTTATGTCTCGTTTTATCTTCAATGCACACGTTATATGTTGTGTTGGATGTTGCATCTGTTGGGATTTATATTATAAAGCGTCGTAATTAATTATTTAATTTTTAATAATAATTTTTATTATTTTATTTACAATTTAATATTATCCATGGTATGAAAATCCATGGTTATTAATGTAATCTTGAACATTATGTGGTTGACATACAAGATAATCGTGTTCAAGTAATAACCTAAAGGGTTTATAGTATATGGATAAGGTTGGGTGCTTATCGTAGTAACACTATTGATACAACTCACTTTATAATCGTATCAAATATCAACTCACTTTATAATCGTTACAAATGATTTGATCTAAATTATTTATGTGGAGACATGTGAGTGGGGTATCCTATATAATGAGTTTATATAAGACTTGACCAAATAATATTTAATCTCTCTTTATCAATCTGTTAACTGATAAGATTAATATTTCACATGATTATCATATGCGACTCAATCTTAATTCTGAGAATTTTGAGTGAGTAGAGGGCTTATCCTTTAATTTACATGGGCGAGAATAACTCTTGTAGCCGATTCAATATGCTTACCATTTTGAGGACTTGGCCAAATAGGGAGTTGGAAACATAATATTATAAGATGAAATTCATTCATTTACATGTAAGAAAAAGTAGATGAGTTGTTCTTTAAGTAGTGATTTTAGGGTTTGAACAATGGGCCCCACCCTCTCATTGGCCCGAGAGGGACTTAGTTTATGATTGTATTATAAACAAATTGTTCATTAGAAAATCAGTGGTACTCAAGGTGAAAGATGTAATTACAGGAGTAAGACGAACTTTTGACCCACCTGTAATTATAAACGACTTGTGAAGGATCGACTTGCTTGTAATGATTATATCAACGAATATAACTTGTCCTATAATGCATAAGAGTGCAACTCTAGGTCAATAGTGGAGTGACCTATAGTTAATGAATAAAAATTGATCAATTAATGAATTTAATGTTGGATCGTATGGCAACCCTAGAGGGGGAGTGCATAGGGTTTTAACGATAAAAGTGTTTAAACGTGATTAATTTTTCTAATGATAAAATTTTTTACAAATAAGTAGAAGATGATAATTACTAGAACAAAATAATTAAGTCAAAACAACAATCAAGTAGAACATACAAATCACAATAATAATTTTGAAATTAAATAGGAAAGAATTAGAAAGGATGACACTGTAGTTTTATAGTGGTTCGTTCAAACTAACCTACTCCACTCCCTAAGCGCCTCTTGGGAATTTGAATAAACAACTTTCTCGACTCTTTTCAGGGACAAGAGCCAAACCGCTACACTGCTCTTTTTACGAGTTTAAGAGCAAATCAATTCTTTCCACGACGCAGGATCAAACCGATACAAGTATTTGAGTTTGAAAGTAACACACCACAACTCTCTTGAAGAGTAGATTTACAATTTGGAACACTCAAAACTATTTCCTCACAGTACAATAGTAATCCCTCTCAAGAATAAGATGAAGAGAAATAAACTTGTAAGTTTGGAGAGAGCAACAAACAATGGAGACTTTGAACAAATGAGGATTGGAGAATTTATGGAAGTTGTGTATTTTAAAACGTGGGGAAGATGAGTTTATATAGAGGAGAAAAGTGGTAAAATGTAGGAATTAATATTGACCATTGGATTGTGTTAGGAATAATGGAATGCCGAGATTGAAAGTAAATAAATAAGAAAATTTTCCAAATTCATTTATTTAAAATTTTTAATATAATAATAATAAAAAGTTATGTGAACCATGGTCAAATGAATTTATAATAATATAATAATAATAAAAATTATGTGAGTAACTACCAAAATTTTAAAATATAATAATATAATATAGTAATAATAAAAATCGATGTGAGTAATGGTTAGATTTAAATTTATATTTTGTAAAAATAATTTTATTTAGAAATATAATAATAAGAAAAGCTCCACCATTTGTTACTCTACTAACATTATAAGTGTCATACTTTGATATATTTTGATTTGTCCATCATTTTGATTTTGCTGCCACATCATCACGTCGAGTATGTTGTCTCGACTCTAATTTCTTCGTTTTAGCTCTGATTTGAGTAATTGAAAAGTCGTTGTAATCGTTATTCCCGACCTTATACTGTGGACAGTTCAAAATACTTAATCATTAAAGTAGATTTGTTATTATCAAAGCATCAATCAATTAATTGATTAAAATTAATTAAAGTGAGATCAATGGTCAAAAGGCCAACATTTAATTATTTAATTTTGTATCATTAGAGCTTACCTGCTAACTAACATTAATCCTAAAAGGTTCAATTAAGTTGAAAGTTAAAATTGAAGTATTTAAGAGATTAGATATATTAAAGGTAAAAGAATAAATAGATTTAATTTGAGATGTTTAAATTAATATTTAATATATTAAATATATTAAATAAAGAAGAAAAAAAATATATAATTTGAAAGATTCAAATTAACATTTAATATATTAAATATGTTAAATATAAATAAAAAAGATATATATTAATTTGAAGAGTTCACGTTAATATTTAATATATTAGATATATTATAAGAGAAAAATATATTTATTGTATTTACATTAAAACTTTAATGTATATAAATACATAAAATAAAAATATATTTAAAATTTGATCTTGGGTTCCAGACATAGTAAAAAAGATCTTCTGGAATGTGGAATAAGGTCTATGTTGGAATACTTCAAAGAGTCTTATATGCTAAGGTTTCTACCAACTTCTTATTCTCATTTATTGGAACTTCTACGTTGTAATACTTCAATTAGTCCTGCCACCTAAGGTGTTTACAAAGTTGGACACAGTGTAAGAACTTCTATGTTGGAATACTTCAACTAGTCTTACCAGCTAAGGTTTTTACAAAATTAGACATATTACACTCATATTTATTGTTTTCTTTTCATTCTTAATAAAGTCAAAACGGTTCCTAATGCTCGTGTTATATGAGTAAAGAGTTCATTCCCTTCAGCACCATCTTCCTCGGTTGCATCAGGGCATTCTTTTATATTGGCCCTCGCGTGGCTGTATGGGTGCTGAAATAGAAATAAATAATTGTTCCCATGGCCTCTTGAGGATAAGGAAGATCTTGCGAAATGTGGAAGAACTTCTACGCTATAATACTTCAAAGAGTCTTGCAAGCTAAGGTTTCTATAAAGGTAGACTTCTTACTCTCATATTTATTGTTTTCTTTTAATTCTTAATAAAATCAAAACGGTTCCTAATGCTTTTGTTATATGGATATAGAGTTCATTCCCTTCAACACCGTCTTCTTCGATCGCATCAGGGCATTATTCTATATTGACTCTCGAGTTGCCAGATGGGCGCCTCTTGAGGGTAAGAAAGATCTTGCGCAATGTGGAAGAACTTCTACGTTTGAATATTCAAAGAGTCTTGCAAGCTAAGGTTTATACAAAGGTAAACTTCCCGTGTATGGATAAAGAGTTCATTCCCTTCGGCACTGTCTTCCTCGGTCGCATCAAGACATTCTTTTATATTGGCTCTCTCGTGGCAGGATGGGTGCCTCTTGAGGATCGCTGCTTTGCTTGAATCGACGTGAGGGTCACAACCTTACTCTCTTCATAGTATGGGTCTGACATTCTCTCCCCTACTTAAATTAGTCATCCTCGTCGATGACTTTTTCAGGGCACAATTACATTGCAGATTGTGACATTCTCTCCTGCTTAATCTCAGAATCTTCCCGATTACGATCCAAACTCTAGATTACTAATGACCTGACTAGCTGGA